GTAAATATAAATATATGGAGAAGAAGGATCTGTGTTTTCCCCTCTGCTTTTCCTTTTTCTTATTTTGAACCCTAGCCTCTGAGATAGAAGAGGCGACGAGAGAGAGAGAAAGAGAGAATCGACGAACGAAGAGGCTACAGAGGTAAGGCGAGGTGAGGAGATGACGCAGCGGAATACACGGGGACTAGATATCGTTCTAGTAGACGAAAGGAGCTCTCGAATTCACGAGAAAAATAGAACCTTGAATCCATAAGGAAGAGAAATATTATTGAATAAATGAATAAAAGTTGTATAAAAGTTGTCTTTGCCATGAGGTTTACATAGCTATTTATAATAAATTAAATCTAATACTTGTAGGAAAAGTAATTCTAAAATAAACTAGGAAACTTAAATGAACACAAATTAGGAAACCTAAGAGAATAGGAAACTAGAATGTTAAACTATTTAAAATCCTAGTCAAAATCTAATTCCAAAATAATAAAATTAAGAAACCTAATAATGCTAAAATATTTATACTAAATTACAAGAATCCTAATAATATATCAAAAATATTAAAACTAAAAATATAAAAATTCTGAAAATCTTGTCCTACATCAATCTCCTTGAAAACCAATATAAAATCATTTATTTATCATGTGGCAACATCAATTTGAAACCAATATGTTGACTTACTTTTATTAGGTTAACTTCTGATAAAAAAAAAAAAAAAAAAAGACGAAACGACGTCGTTTCGTCGTTTCGGGGCATTCGGGAGAGCTCGATTCGAGCTCTCAATCGCGGTTGCTAAAATAATAACTTCTCAAACAATCACAATGTGATCCAATCTGGACCATTCCCAAAGAAAGGGCTGGAGAGAGGGGATGTGAACTGCCTTATTTGGTTCGAAAGACAAAAGAATAAAATAATCCAAACATGATAATGGCAATGTCTGCACCATCACCAGTGGAGTGGCAACCCACACCATAATAATTCTAGGAATATAGAAATGTTTCACATTATGAAAAATTAATTATATTTAGTACTTACTTATTTTTATTAAAATTTTGTTATTTTCAATTATAACAATTAATCTTTATATTAAGGCCTCGTTTGGAACCCTCCCTTTTAACTAAAAAGTTAAAAAGTTACTAAGCCTCCGTTTGGGAAGTGGGTTGATTTTTTGGCTTTTTGATTTTTTTGACTATTTTAGTCTGGGGCTAAAAAGCCTGATTTGAGAAGGGCTTTTTGACTTTTTGGTGAGGTATCCATATGTAATATTACTAAACTGCCCCTGCAACTAATTTTGTCCAACTGTGACGTCACCACTCACTTTCGCTTCTTTTTTTTTTAATTTTATTTTTATTTCGGCGGCTGTGCTATGGAATTGTTGACCCAAATGGTTTTTTTTGGTCATTTTAATATTTGTTTTTTTTATTACATTAATTTGGTTTTGTTTTGTTTTTTTTTTGTCTTGGTTTTTTCATGTGTTTTTTTTTGTTGATTTTAAAATTTTTTTTTTTTAATTTTCTGTAAAATGATAAAAAGTGAAGTTTTAAATAATTGTCCTGTGTATTTTAAGGTCTTTTTTTTTTTTTTGCAAATGGTTTTTTCATGTGTTTTTTATTTTTATTTTTATTTTAATTTTTGTTTTTCATTTTCTGTACAATGATAAAAAGTGAGGTCTTAAATAATTGTCCTGTGTATTGTAAATAATTTAATTTTCATTTTATTCAATTTTATTTAAATAATTTAAATATTCAAAAAATTTAAATAATTTAAAATGTTAAGATTTTAAATTTAAAAACAACTCTACACTCAAATCGTAACCAAACACATAAAACAAAACTTAATTAAGAAATTACTTTTAAAACTTATAACCAAACACATAATTCAAAACTCCATACTACTTTCATAACTCTACACTCAAATCGTAACCAAATACATAACAAATAAGTTAAAATATTTTTATAAAATAGAGTTTGAATTTATTTTTATAAAATATTTTTAAAATTTAAAAAATTAAAAAAATCGTAACATATTTAAATATTAAAATATTTAAAATCTTAACAAAATTAAAATACTTTAAAAATATTTAAATATTTAAAATATTTTAAAAAATAAAATATTGATTTGAATTGAGTTTTGAAAATAGTTTTGAATTATGTGTTTGGTTATGAGTTTTTAAAAGTAATAATTATGTTTTGAATTGAGTTTTGAAAAATAAATGTAGAATTATGATTTGAAAACTCAAAACAAACAATACACTCAAATCAATAAATAAAACTACAATTTGAGAAGCTTACCCAATATAGCCTTAATTTTTTTTTTTGTTCTTTTTTCTCCTCTTCCTCACCACTCTCTCTCCGAGCCCTATATATAAAGCATTTTTTTTTTAAATAATATAAATATATCAATATTTAGATTAATTACCTATAATTAAATAACACATTAAATTAATTAAATAACACATTAAATTCTCATATAATCACGTAGCTAATAAAGTCAAAAATAAAATAAGGCAAATATAAATTAATAATGACCTACAAAAAATTAGGATTGCTACACCGAAACAAAAATCTATATAATAAAACAGGATGGTTTTTGAATTTGTCCTATACACATTTATTCTACTAGAACATTTGGACGGCTTAGATTTATTCAAATTATAAAACAACGACTGAGATATATTTTTAAAATAAAAAATATCCTACATGTATATTTTCTATTTTTCCGCTTCTCTCTCTTACTTTTTCCTTTTCTCACCCATCATTCTATGATCCTATAATCTCACATTCCTCTCTCTTTTCTTTTTGTTTTTTTTATTTTCTTTCATTTTTATTTTTCTTTCTATTTGTTTTTTTTTTCTCCTTTTTGTGCACTTATTTTTATTCGTATTATATGGAAAAGTCTGCGATCCCAGAATTATGAGCCAGATTTTACTGTGTGTAGTGGAGATTATATTAATGAATTTTTAAGTTCACAAATTAAATGAATTTGAACAATTAATTATTATTTTTAAATATATTGAATACCTGATAAACTTCGTAAATTTAGATCTCATATGAATCTTCAACATATATTTTAATAAAGTAGGACGGTTTTTAAATATTTAACATATTTTTGTCTTATTAGGACATTTGGATGGCTTAGATCTGTTTAAATTATAAAATAATGGCTGAGATATATTTTTCAAAAAATGTTCTACATATACATTTTCTATTTTCCTGCTTCTCTCTCTTTCTTTTTTCTTTTCTCACACCCCTCATTCCATGATCCCATGATCCTGCCTTCCTCTTTCTTTTCTTTTTATTTTATTTTTCTTTCGTTTTTATTTTTCTCTCTATTTGTTTATTTTTTTTATTTTCTTATTTTTGTTCAATATATTTTATACATATTTTCATATAATGTATGTATGTCGTAATACACTAGGACATTACGGGCATACATACAATTTCCATATAATTATATAAGCAAAAATAGTATTGTATGTATGTCCGTAGAAATTGTATGTATGTTAGATACATCTATCTATTTAGCTATATATATTATATAAGTAAAAACGAGTTTTCATGAAGAGTTTTGTGAAAGCTCTAAAATTTTATAATAAATTTGTGATTTTATCAAATTAAAAAATATAAATTTAAATAGTGTTGAAATTTTAATCATAATATTATTTGTACCGTACTTTATACTAGTGTATATGGATGACAATTTAAACCCGACCTGACAAGGACCCGACCTCCCGACCCCAATTTTAACAGATTTTCTCCAAAAAATACTCCCGACAGACCGAAAATGGTATTCAAAACTAAATCCCTAATAAATTTTGGCCCAAAAACGGTGATACATTTCCCAGTCCCATCCCTGGTCCGACCCCGAGCCCCGTCCTTGATATAAAATTACTATCATACCCCCTCTCTCTCTCTCTATATATATATATATATATAAACCAAACCAAACCAAACCCTAAAACACAACTCACTCACACACAACCGCCTCTCATCTCTCTCGGTTTCTCTCTCGGTTTCTCTCTCTCTCCCTCCACCGATCTCCCTCCGTCGTCCTCCTCTCCCCCTCCTCCGCTGTCCTCTACCTCATTTCATCACCGCCGATCTCCCTACTTCTCCGCTGTCTTTGGCGAGAGAGAGCTGTGGTTAGGGTTTTCGATCTCGGCCAGAAGAAGTACTCAGATCTGCAACGATCGAGGCCACAACAAGGCGGCCACAATAAGGCGTCGCCGCTGGTGAAGAAGGTGTCTCCAAAGTAATCAATCTATTTCCCCAAATACCCTAGACAGCAGAGGTCTCCAACAATATTTTTGGATTTTTTTTGGAGATAGAGAAACAATCGATCTGGTAAGAGCTCTTCAATGGTTGTTTCGAATGTGTCTCTCACCTGACTTTTTTCTTTGCATTTTAAATTTGTTTTTTTTTTACCATTTCGCTTTCTCTCGCCAAAGACAGCGGAGGAGTAGGGAGATCGGCGGTGATGAAATGAGGGAGAGGACAGCGGAGGAGGGGGAGAGGAGGACGACGGAGGGAGATCGGTGGAGGGAGAGAGAGAGAGAGAGAGAGAGAGAAACCGAGAGAGATGAGAGGCGGTTGTGTGTGAGTGAGTTGTGTTTTAGGGTTTGGTTTGGTTTGGTTTATATATACTAGTGGGTGGCACACACGATATGTGTGCAATTTAAATAAGTAGGAATAAAAACTAATAATAATGAAATTAATATTATAATGTGTACTTAGCTTAAGTGGTATGAGTCCTTGTACTTAAACCCGTATTCATGGGTTCAAGCCTTGCCCATCTCTTTTTTTTAAAAAATAAAAAATACTCAGGACACCATAAAAGGTGTTCACTTTATAATAGTATAGATAGATCGTTTCATGTCAAAAGCTTTAAACTGCTTTGCTTTTCTTGTGTTTTTAGTGTTGGTTTGTGTTTATGTATGAATTAATTTCAAGTTTCCTTTCTGGGTTTATCTGATTATATATGTGTCATGGAAAGTTGGTTGATTTGTTTTTTATGTTTTCAGTCAAAAGGAAACTAGAGGATTTTCCAGGAAAATTTAATAGAATTTTTCTTGACCATGCTTAAAGTAGTTGCTGTCATTTCCTTCCCCATCAATTATTAACTAACTGCAATCGGTGTGATCTGTTCTTAGGAATTTGTCTGGAATTATTGATAATCTTTATTATAGATTTGAAATTGTTATTTAAATTAATTAAATTGAACTTGTCCCACACTCAATTCCAATGAATATATATATTTCTTATTGATTGATGACAAATTAATAATTAGTAAATACCTTGTTTGAATGAGTACAATCTAAGCTTAAAATCAGTGGTTTCTTTTCTGTTTGATTGGAATCATTGATTAGTATAAACAGTGGCTGTGAGTTTGGATATTTTATTTTTTTAATTTTCCATTTTGTCATGGATACACATAAACTGAGTCCCAAAATGTGTGTTGATAATTTAGGGTATGGATGTGTGTTGATATGGATGTGTGTTGATAATCTCAATGTGTGTTGATATGGATGTGTGTTGATTTTGTCATGGATGTGTGTTGATAATCTCTATTTGGTTCCCAAAATGGAGAATCTTGAACAATTGTTAGTATTGTATTGAAGCATTTTAATCATGTATAAGGGCATTTTGCCTATAAAATGTTTAGTTGATACGTACAAAGCTTGGACCAAGATAAGGAACATTTGTTTTTGCTGTATTTGATAGTGTACCCTTGCTATTTCACTAAAGAAAGGAGGTCATTAATCAATTGTAGGACAGTGAATTGGATATAATTGATGGTGTGGGTGCTGAAGCAGGCCATGTGATAAGAACAACTATTGGTGGTCGTAATGGTCAATCCAAGCAGGTTAGCAGAAAATTCATTTGTATGAAATTCAAATGTTAATGTGGTTTAAGCTGTCTTGTGTAGGCAAAATGCCGAGAGACAGGGAGATTGTCGCCATCAAGAAGGTTCTCCAAGACAAGCGCTACAAGAGCAGGGAGTTACAGATTATGAAAATGATGGACCATCCTAATGTTGTTCTAAAACATTGCCATTGATGTTATATGTTTTATTTGAATAATTATTGTTCCATGTTGTAATAGACTAATGTTACTATTTCTTTTTTTTGTTTTTTTATTTTTTTGGTTGGACATTTGATATATTATGTTGCATGTATTATTTTGAGAGATTTATTGGTTGTGGGTTGAGAGATGAGAGTTCTATATTGTTTGAGTATTTTTTTTGTTAGTTCTCTTATATTTTCTTTTGTGCTCAGTTATAGGTCTTATGCTATTGGTTGTGCTATTGTTATGCTGCTCATGTACAGTGTGTGAGATTACCCTTTGTTACAGTGTGTGAGTACCCTTCGTGCTGTTATGTTGCCTTATTTATTTGGATGTTTATGTTTGGATATTGTTGCATTATGTTTTTATATATATTATTTTTATTTGCCTCAAAAAATTAAATAAATAAAATGAGAGTTGAAAAATTCAAAAAAAAAAAAAAATGGCCTGTGCTATCGCATTGAAATGCTTGGAGGACGCACATCCTCTGCACTGGGCAAACACATTCTTCAGGTATGCATGTTAATTACAATGCACATTACTGGTTAATACAAACGTACCCACATATCGTACACATGTTTAACCTATCTGCCATATTTGCCTATTACAGGGGTAACCGTTATGGCGAGATGAGTTTAAATGCTACTGAGTCTTTCAATTCGTGGATACATGATGCACGTAATCTCTCAATCACTAAGATAGTGTACAATAGCAGAGCTCAGTTAATGCGCTAAATGGAAAAACATAGAGTTGCGAACCAAATGTGGACATGAGCAATTTGTCTCAAGATGGAGTTCTCGTTTAGAAAAGGCGTTCAACAAAGGGTGATCATGGTTGTAATTCATGGTTGGGGGTTTATTCATGTGATAGCATGTATACAATGTGTTCAGTCCCACCATCGCAGCCCATTACCTCGTATTGCACTATGTATGTCTGGCATCACAATTTGTACAACCAGTCAGTAACGTCAAACAAATTATGCGTTATTGAAGCACATAATCATTAAATTATGCCATACGCACAATAACTTCATGCATGGTTTGACATGCGTCTATTTCATTTTTTTGAGTAGGTATGGAAGGCAATGTGATGCTGTTGTGTTCTTATTTGAGTACAAATGTTGTGTACAACTGGGAATCTCCATTCATATTCGGCAACCTAGTAGACTTTTTGTGTTCGAAATTCAGAGCATTGACACCCGTCAAAATGCCATTGTTTTACTAGATTCTTGGATTCAATAATTTTGCATTGTTGAATGATGACATGGGAAACATGGCACGCCTCGCCAAGTCATTCAGGTTGCAGCACATTGGTTGATTATTGAACAACATAGGGAATTGTCTGATTTGTTAACAGATGATGAGTATGTACAAACACACGGTACTATGCCACACGACAAGGGGACCAAACGCACATTGGACCTGGACGATGAGGTCGATCTGCTGCCCACGTTCTACTGCCACACTGAGAAAGTGCTAATGATTGTGCCGTAGGCTACCGCCATCACTCATATTAGGCAATGTTTTGAAGGCAACACGCAAGAATTTTGAATAGTACTTTCTAAATACTCGGTGGAGTGTGGGTTCTAGTACAAATACGTGAAGAACGATTCCGTTCGGATCACAGTTGTGTATGCTATGAAGGGCTCAAGGGTTATATGTGGGGCCACTACCCACCACCACCCGCCATCCGCCACCCATCTGCCACCACCATCCACCACCCGCTACCACCACCACCACCACTCGCCACCACCAGCAGCTACCCACCACCCACCGCCACCACTTTCCACCGCCATCTTCCGCCGCCACTTGCCACCACTTGCCATTTCTCACTCTTTTTTATATTTTTAAAATTTTTTAAACATTTTGTCAATTACCAAACGCGTTTTTAGTTTATGTTTTTCTAAAAATAAACAAAAAATAAACATAAACCAGTTTATAAAATTTTTGTAAATATAAACTGAAAACGTAAACGTTACCAAACACACCCTTAGTGTCTCGAATTCAACAGCCTCAAATGACTCAAAATTTGTGTTTATTAGTCGACTGACCGAATAATCATTCGAGCAACCAGATAAAATATTTATCTATCGTGATTATTTCCTTATCGATCACAATGACCAATTTTTTTACCAAACAACCTGTAAAATAAAATCCAAACTATTGGAGGCAAGTTATTCGTAACATTGCTCATTAAATTATTGAGCATATTCCAAACGCTCCCTAACTCATCATTTTGTTTTATAATAAAAAATTCATTTCCCTCCCTGTCACTTCCCTGCTGCACTCTGTCTCTCTCTCACACACACACACGCACCTCTTCACTCTCTCTCATCGAAGGTTTTGCATTAAAGCCCTACTCCACTCCAGTCATTTTCTCTATGCTTTTCTCATTCTAGAGTTGTAGAAAACCACTCTCACTCCTCACCACCATGGATTCATATGAAGCAACAAAGATAGTCTTCTCAAGGATACAAAGTTTAGATCCAGAAAACGCCTCAAAAATCATGGGTTACATATTCATACAAGACCCTGGAGAGAAAGAGATGATTCGCTTAGCCTTTGGACCAGAGTCTCTCCTGATATCTCTCATCAATCAAGCCAAAACCCACTTGGGAATTTCATCGAACACTTCATCTACACCCTCCACACCTTCCTCTCCTTCGCCTTTCAACAACCCCATGTCGAACCCCAACAACAACAGACCCACTCACCAATTGCCTCATTCTTCGCCTCGAGTCATCGTCCCCAACAATGGGTTTCACATCAACCCCCCTTCGCCTTCTTCGCCGTGGTCTGTTTCTGGGTTTTCCGATCACCGAAGCCCCAGCAATCAGATGAGTCCCAGACCTCCTTCTTCTCTCTCCTACGCTGCTGTTGTCAATGGAACCAGTAATGGCGGTTCTGGTTCGTTTTCACTACCACCGTTTTATAGTAACAGTAATAGTAGCGATTTGAACGATGAGTTCAACATTCAAGTGCGAGATCAACTAGATTTTGTTGTTGATCCGATAATGAGTCCGAGTGGTCGGAGCGATTCGATTCTCTTCCCTTATGCGAACACCGTTGATTCTGCTAATTGCGGTAACAACCACCAGCACCACCATAGGAGGAGTTGTTCAGTGAGTGATATGTTTCTTAGTGGGTCTGAAGATGGAGGATCTGGTTTTGGGTGGAGACCCTGTATGTATTTTGCTAGGGGTTTTTGCAAGAATGGCAACAATTGCAAGTTTTTACATACTGGGTTTTCAGATTCTACTGATTCTTCACCTGCCATTGTTGGTTCGCCGAGCAAGTTTGATGGGTTTGATGAGTTATTGACAATGAAGGCAATTCAGCAGCAGAGATTTGCTGCGGCTTCACAGTTTATGTCTGGAGGTTCTTTCCCTTATGACAAATGCATGAACATTATGAATAACTCACCAAGGTACATTAATTTACTGATTTTGAGTATGTTTTAATTGTAGGTATTTGGTGTGGTAATGTTTTTTGAGTTTTTTTTTATGGCATTGTTCTGCATGTATTAATAAAGGAGACATTTTTATATGTGGAACCAAGCAATTTGTTTGTTAAATATCTGCTTAGGTTCTGGATTTTTGGATTTGGATTTATTTCTGGTGTCATCTTTATGCCATTGTGTTGCAATGTAGATCTGCGGCAGCGACATTGATGATTGGGGATGAATATCTCAAGTTTGGTCGCTGCCGACCGGAAAGGAATGATTTTTCAGCTATAGGATTCGGAGGAAATGCGAATTCTTGTTCTAGACAGATTTATTTGACATTTCCAGCTGATAGTACATTTAGGGAAGAGGATGTTGCCAATTACTTTAGGTAATTGATTCATGGTTGTTTGAATCTTTCGATATTTGAAATTCAAATTGAGCATTTTGCTTAAGATAGTTTTGTTTATTGATTTGAAGCAAGTTTGGACCAGTGCAAGATGTGAGGATTCCATACCAGCAGAAGCGAATGTTTGGGTTCGTTACATTCATTTACCCGGAGACTGTGAAGATCATTTTGGCCAAAGGGAACCCTCATTTCGTTTGTGATTCATGTGTGCTCGTTAAGCCGTACAAGGAGAAAGGAAAAATCCTTTGACAAGTAGAGACAATTGCTCTAATTCTTTCTTTAGTTTCTGTTTGTATTGCTTACTTTCATTTGTTGAGTTTGCATTGTTGATTGAATGATTGTTAGGAAGCAACAGCACCATCAGTTGGAGAGAGGAGAATTTTCATCGTGTTTAAGCCCGTCTGGGATTGACTCTGGAGGGCCCTACGATCTCCCCATTGGTAATCATACAAGCAAGCTTGCTTTTTCCCCCATTTATTATGCAATTCTGTGTATTCAAGCTCCCATTCTTACTTTATACAGGACCAAGTATGTTTTACAATACTCCAGAGATAATGTTGAGAAGGAAATTAGAGGAACAGGCTGAATTGCAGCAAGCTATTGAGCTCCACGAAAGAAGACTTATGAATTTGCAACTTATGGACTTGAAGAATCATCATCAGAGTCATCAATTCCAGACGAACATGGTGCCTAACGTTCCCATTGCCTCTCCTGCTCACCTTCATATTAATCAGAGTCTAGTGTTTCGATCTGATGGTGTTAATCAGGAAGCCTCAGAAGGTTAACTAATAAGAATCATTATCAACGGTCATCAATTTTCATGCATTTTCATTTTTTTTAATCAATGCTTTTAGGTAGTTTATAACTCACTCTCTCTCTCTCTCTCGTTTTTTATTTTTTTTTGTTTTCCCCAGAGAATTATAGTAGCCCAGCTGCATCCAATTCTCTAACTGTTGCCACTGAACGGCAGCAGCAACATCAACAGCAAGACGCAAAAGAAGCTTGTAATAACAGCAATGCCCGTGACAGTGGCGACAGCAAGGAGCAATTCTCCAACCTTGAAGATGCTGATCTCCATGAAAGGTATAAATAAAACATCAATTTCAGATTCAGCTCTATACTGTTTGGGTTATATTCTGCAGGTTGCTCTTCTTTGGATAGTTTTGCATTAGGTTTTCAATTGTAGGTTTTTTTTTTATTTTTTATTTTAATAATTTTCAAACTTTGTGTTTGAAATGGGTGCAGTTTAGAGCACATCCTCCCTGATAACCTCTTTGCTTCTCCTATAAAATCGGCCGGTGAACACTATATTTTCTCCACTGCTTCACCAGAAGCCGATGATAGCACCTTAGTAACAACTACATCATCTAACAACATCCCAATGCTGCCCACCACTTCCACCCTCAATATGGCTTCTCTGTTATCATGTTCTTTCCAAATGCCAAGGTACCACTGCTTCTGCTGGTGCTGCTGCTGCTGCTCTCTCTCTCTCTCTGACTAGAGTGAGTGAAGTTAATTCAAATTAGTATTGTTGTTTACAAGGTTTTCTTCTGGGCAAGAAGCCATTGAAATGTAGGTGATGGGGGTGACCATGATCAGCATGTTGGGCGTTGACTTTAGCTTGGGTAAGAGACTATCAATGTTGCATTTCTTTGATCATGCTGCCCAATTTTTACATAATTTGCACAATTTCTAGTTGAATATTGATTCTTGGTAATGTTTGGCATTTTATTTTTTCATTGTTGCAGAAAAGTTGAGTAGAGCATATAGAAGGAAGAAAAAGTCATCTAGCTGTATAGCCAAACCATACCATCAACAAAAAAGAAAAAGATCTGTAAGGAAGATCTCCTCAAGATTATTGTCATCATCAATACCATGCTCTAGTTACAAGTATACATAATGCATGCATAAAGGACAGATGAACTAATTTATGGGAGTGGGGTCTGTCTTTATTTTTGTACCCTCTCTGTAGTTGTAGTTGTAGTTGTAGTTGTGTGCTGGACCACACACAGTACAATATATATAGCATAACAAAACAGTTACTAGTAACTCTTGTTATATTGTTAATTTACCTTTTTTTTTCAAAAATTTATTATATATAATATTGTTTATTATCGATAGCACACTCTCTTGAGGTGAAAGTGAAAAAATAAAGAAAGTAGGAAAATATAAGTTACAAAGATCTGAAACAGAACTGTAACTACTACACTTAGCAATCCCAAAAGGGTAAAGAGTGGTGTAAACTTTAGTGGTTAAAAGCAGGTCTTATGTCACTCTTTTTTTTGTTTTAAATGTTCTTGTTATTGCAGAGCATCTGTCATCCCGTGGATCATCACTCAAAAGAAAGAGTGGAGATCATCACTCAAAAGAAATAAAAAAGTTGCTAGTGAGAGACAGAGGGAGGGAAAAAAATGGGGGAGAGAGAAAAAGGATGTTCTTTTAAGTGATTAAAGGTTACTTTAGGGGATCTCTTTTGTCTCATTTTTGGTTTCTTTTAGGTGGAATGAAGGGAGGAGGGCCACACTGTCACATGGGTGCTGACGCCATTTGAATGGTATTAGGGTACCAAAGACACTCCTTTCACTTTCAGTCCCTACTAGCCTCAATTCAGAATGGAAAATATATATTATAGGTTTTTGGCCTTTTGTTTTATGGGTAATGCTGCCCTACCCTTATGTTTTGGCATGGTGTTTAATTTATGTCATAGTGGGTGGTACATTTACATGTTATTGAACCCATCAGGGTAGCTTAAGAGTATCTCTTTGGAATTGGGTGTTAGTGTGTAAATAGACAAAAAAAAGGGTAAAAGTGAGACTCATCAATTTTGTGTTAGAATCGTTCATTTAGTGAGTGAACGAGTGTTCCATTGAAGATACTAAGGTGTGTGTTGGATAAGAGTGGTGTCCACTTGAGTACGTATAAATGTGTTCCACATGCATGAACGCCCCAATTGACATCCTCTGCTAACATCTGACCCGACCCTAGTTCCATGTTCAAGTTCAAGGCATCCATTGGAGATGTCCTTAGTGTAGCAGTTTAAGGTTGTCACTGGGACAAATCCTAAGTTAGGAAGTCTTGTGTTTAACTCTCTGGTTTTATCTGATATCTGTGACTCGTAAGCATCCGGGATTTTACCTTGTAGTAGGGGTAGGTCTAAAGTGACTCTGTCTTGAAGCTTTCTTTGCCATAAAAAAAAGAGAATGAAAAAAAATACATGTTTTTTTAATTGATTGTTGCCCTCCAATTGTGTTTAAAATTGCACTTTGACCAACATTGTTGAGCCCTAAGCAGAAAGTATCAAAAGTGGTGTGTGAATGGTGGTTGTGTTGTGTATTTTAAACTCATCAAAATGAAAAACAGTCACGGGTTACTGTAGAATTTCTCTCCTTTAAAGTCATCCTGCTGTTTCTGTGTCTCTTTTTGATTCTTTTGTATGTATGCTCAGACAAAACAGAGCATCATATAGAAAATAGAAAATTGGTTATTGGGCCCCACCCTGCTCTGTAGCTATCTTGCATGTTATACACACAAATGGATATTGAAAAATGATTTATAAGTTTCTTATAAAAAACAATGATGTTGTCTCCTCAATGATATTTTTAAAAATTATGAGGGCAATATTGAATGTTTTGATGTGAAATGAAGGGATTTGAAGAAGTTATTTTATTCTGTAGGAAAATTTTGTACAAAATTTTTGGTTCTCTATCATTATTTATGTATATTATATGTTGTTTGCTGGAGCAATCTATGGTATGAAATTTGACATTGAGAGATTTATAGCTGGCAATTTATAAAGTTCACTTGATTTGTTGAATTTTGTGTAGTTGATTCTATTTAAAAGTGTGACTGACATTGCCAGGCCAGCATCACTGTGTTTGGTTTGAATTTTTTGAGTTAAGTTTTTTTAAAATTGAATTTTTTGATTTTCGTGTTTTTTTGTTTTTAGTGAATTTTTTTAAAATTTTAAATATTTTTTTTTACTTTTTTAGATGTATCTTATTTAGATGTATCCAAAAAGTAAAAAATTTGTAAAAAAATATTTTTAAAAATTAATAAATACATAAAAATATAAAAAATGTATTGAATTCTCGTATTTTTTTTTGTATTTTTGATATTTAGTGAATTTTTAAAAGGTTTTTTTCATAATTTTTTTTACTTTTTAGGTATATTTATGTTAGGTATGTTTAAAAAGTAAAAACAATTGTTTAAAATATTTAAAAAATTGGTAAAAACAAAAAAAATACGGAAAATAAGAAAGTAGAATTTTCTGAAAACAGTTTTTGAAAAACTGAAATCAAGCATAGTGAATATAGCTGGCTGATTTGAAATTTCTCTACTTGATTGGCGGGGAAAAAAATAAAATCATAGGCTATGTTTGGATGTTTGATTTATGGAAGGATTTTTACTTCATTTTTTATCTCATTTTTTTGGCCCTTTTCGTTTACATATTGCCTAAAAGGAATATTCTCATTTCTTACACTTTTTTTTTTTTATTTTTTAAAGAAAAAATTGAGAATGCATTGATAAATAAGTTTTTTTTTTTTTTTTAATTTAAAAAACCAGTGCAATTAATAAATCTTGTAAAATTCTATCAATCAATATATTGTGTCAAAAAGTATGCATTTTAGTCCAGGAAAATATTTCACTTCATTAATCTCATAAATAAGCTTCTTAAAAAAAAAAAAGAAAACTAGGAAAAATTGCGCACAAGGGAAATCTTTCTAAAATGATTATCGTTCCATGAAAAATTTATAATTTTAAATATTAATTTTTTAAAAAAATTTTCTATTATTCTAAAATTACTCTTACAAGCTTCCATTGATTTGTTGTTTCTCTCTAAAGAAGAAAAAAAAAAAAAAAGAGAGGGCAGAGTTTGCAACATATATTCTAGGATCCACTCAACTCGATCGAATTGATCCAACCTAATTAATTTTGTGCGGATTCGTATCTTTTGGTGGATAGATACGGATGACATATTTTAAAATTCACAGATACGGTTCGGATGGTGGATCAACCATCCCACACCCGCATAAATCTGATCCATCCATAGATGAATTTCAAAAAAAGAAAAAGAAAGAAACTGCTTTCAAGTAACAACATAGAGTAAAAATAATAAAATATATATTTTTGTGAAAATGAAAAACAATACTTTAAAAATATGCATATATGGTGTCATGGTCTATTATAGACAAATAATATATATATTTTTTAAGATTACTAGTTATTGGAGATTGTAAAAATTATGAATTATAATTTTAAAAAATGTTCAAAATTTCTAAAGTCCAAACTGTCAAACCAATTGCTTCTATCTGCCAATCTGCACGGCTTGCTCAATCAGTGAACGGATATGGATTGACTTTTTTCAATTCACCTAATTTTGGACAGATAGCAAATGGGATGTCACTCAACCTAATTCGATCTGCAATCACCCTAATATATTCTCTCTCTGAGTCCACCTGCCCTGCCGTCAGCCTTTTCTTGGCCCAAATGGTGTCATGGTCTATTATAGACAAATAATATATATATTTTTTAAGATTACTAGTTATTGGAGATTGTAAAAATTATGAATTATAATTTTAAAAAATGTTCAAAATTTCTAAAGTCCAAACTGTCAAACCAATTGCTTCTATCTGCCAATCTGCACGGCTTGCTCAATCAGTGAACGGATGTGGATTGACTTTTTTCAATTCACCTAATTTTGGACAGATAGCAAATGGGATGTCACTCAACCTAATCCGATCTGCAATCACCCTAATATATTCTCTCTCTGAGTCCACCTGCCCTGCCGTCAGCCTTTTCTTGGCCCAGGTCTTTGAAATATGTTTTGGCAATGGCTTGGGCCTACATGGCCTTATCCACTCAAATATCTTTAGGCTTGAGTAACGGCTTAGTGAGCTTGGTTAAATCAGATCAGTCCTGCCCTGCGACACTTTTTTTTCTTGAGATAATATTGTTTTAATAGGAAATGACATTTTCATACTTTGCTTACTTGCCTCTCACATCACGCTCTTGTGGTTACAAAATATTATTGGATGGGGCACATGACCATGTAGTATTTCAAATTTTTGTGATAATTTATGTCTATTGTATGGGGCAATATTACAAAAATTGCAAAAGAAATTGTATGAGAGGTTTTTTTTATTCACACACAAACATACACACACACATATGTATATATTGTGTATAACATTAATTTAATACATAAATTGTCATACGGTCATCAAGTAAATCTTGATATTTTTCTTGTAATTTATGGTATGTTCAGTTTGGACCCATGTATTCGCAATCAATTTTATTTTAATTTGTTCATCTTGTAAATTCCCGTCTATATACCATGATCAATAAAAAAAATCAAAATGATAGAATAATTGGAGTATTGGTGTAGTGCTGGCTAAAGACCTTCAGATGCCTTTATTAGGGATGTGGGTGTAGAGAGAGAAAGTAGAGAAAGAGAGTTGAAATGGAGAGTTTAGGGTTTGGGTGCATACGTTGATCTTTTTACGTAGCATATTTGTCTTGGGCCATTAAGGATGGTGGGCCTCAGTCTTGTTGGGCCTTGGGCCATATGGGTTGAGTAAAAAAGATGAAAAACAAACCAATCAAGGAGATCCTTCAAAAAAACCAATCAAGGAGATGATGAATCGCTTTGGGGTTCAAATGCAATGCACAATTGAGGCACCTTATCGTTGTCCATACTGGGTTTATATGCATGCTTTTTATTCGTCCACTAGCCATCCATGGGGCTTTATTTATTTATTTGAATATTATCAGTATTTTTAAATTTTAAAATCGTCTAGTCTGAAAATTGATTTAAAAAGTATAAAACTTCAGTTTAATAGATTCTTTTAGGCAAAGTTATGTTGACTTGATCGATTTTATAGAAATTAATCTTATTGAGATATGATTTTTTTTTTAGATAGGTTTAAGTTTCTTAATAACTATCCTAACTAAAATTTTTTAGAGCAGCCACTGGACAAATTTTGTTTTTCACTGATCTAATTATATTGTAGTTCTTTTCTAGATTACTCGCTGAATGATTATGCTGTCAAGTATGAGCCATTCGACTTTACTTGGCCCTAGTATTTGAAGTAGATTTTTACAATAACTTGGG